CTGACTAAAGAATGCTGATGTGGACAAATCTTTAACATATTAAGCCCCCACAACCTCATAATATATTTTTATGAGTGTGTAATAGCTTATCTATTAGTATAGACCCTGCGTCCACCAAACTCATTATTATAAAAATGATATCATAGCATTGTTAAATATGTTTTACAAACGTTAGTTTTTCTTTGATACGAGAATACAACTAATTATTCTTAAATCACATCTGCTGATTTATGCTAACAAGACAGTTCTCTGCTCCTCAAACTTTTATTAAGCTCTCAATCTGTGTATCTAACTATAAAACTGACAACAGATCTAAACTCAGTGTCAATTGCTGAGGACATGTACTTCAAGAATCTCTTGGCTGTAGGCTGATATAAGTGTTGGTCCTGGAAATGTTTATACTATTTTATTTTTTCCTTCAAGAATTTTTTTTTTTTTAAGCATCGTGATTCATATATCTCAATTCATGAATTGTTTTAAAACTTGTTAGCCTATATTCTCAAATCATCAGTTAGGTTCAATGGGGAGATCACTTTAAACTAGTATGAACTATGTTTCATTGTAACCTTACTTTTTATTCTACAAGGAAATGCAATGAAAAAATCATGGAATCAGGTTTAAAAATATCAGTCATCAAAATTTTTAGGGAAAAAATATAAACATAAACAAATATTTTTATCTATGAATATTAAAATTGAAGTTTTACTAATTTTTTATTTATTTATGCATGTTATATTGAAATTCTAGCATGTTTGTGTGGTGTACTAAAATGAGCCAAAATCAATACTAACTATGTATCCACTTCTTTCTTTTTTTCTTTTTTTTTTTAATATTATAGTAAATATGTTTTCATAATGACTAATCGTAGAAGTTGAAAAGTAAGTAAATTAATTAATAAAAAACATGGCTAAAATTGTTTACCATTATATTCCATTTAGTGTATAATAAAATTAAAGCTTATTTTTATCCAAAGCTCACTTATTGGTTTGAAGATTCTGTTGGAGTAAAAAACTTAGGTTTGAAAGTTTTTTTGTAGATTTATGAAAAAAAAATTTTATAAGAAAAAACAAATAAACTTAAACAAATCTGCTTAATTTTTTTTTCTATGCCCCTATATATCAGTTAGGTATACATATATTTTGACAGAAATGTAATCATATTTTTATTTATTGAATTAAAGATTCCTGGTAAAAAATTACAATATTTTATTATTGAAATGTTTATATTGTACCCTCTATAAATGTTTACATTTTATTATAATTTAGATAAATAAAATTTTAAAAACATGATCCACTACAACACCCTTTTGGATTCAGTACTTTGTGATGAAGTACTGGTTTTTTGTCAACAGTTATGCAAGAAGCTGCGATCAAGACCACACTCAACTTCTAGGTTTCCTCCATAATTAATTATTTAATTAAAAGAACCCGCTTTATAGAGATTGGATTGACTGGGTCGATCCACATGGCTAATATACAGTGATAGAAAAAAGTATTTGCACAACATGTTTTTATGGATAAAGTAGTTCAAGGAAACAAAAAACTTCGTTTACCTTTGCAAAAATGAAAAGTAAATTTATTAAAAACTGAAAAAAACTTTTTTACAAAAAAATAAAAACACTTCATAATCAAACAAAATAATTAAAACAATAAAAGTGCTTGGGAAAAAGTATTTGCACACTTCCACATTTAACAAGTTTATTTTAAATTTTAATAGTTTTAATATTTTGTAAATAGGCTATTTGCATTAATGATTGCTTGTAGACATCTGGGCATTGAATGCACTAGGTTTTTAATTAAGTCTACGTTTATTTGTTACCATTCTTGAACAAGAAGTTGTTTAAGGTGATGTCCACTAGTGATATGGTGTTTTCTTACATTTTGGTCAAAGATGTGCCATAAATTTTCAATGATATTTATATCTGGTGACTGAGGATGAGTGTGGAGCTGTCTTGGAACATTAAATATTAACCATTCCGTTGTTCTCCTCGCAGTATGTTTTGGATCGTTGTCCTGCTGGAAATAGTACTGATCCTGGATTCCCATTTTTTCGGCACTAACACGCAAATTACGTCGCAAAATGTTCACATAGCCTTCCGCATTCAAAATGCCTTGGATGCTCACAAGATTTACCATCGAAGGAAACACACCCCCAAACCATAACATGTCCTCCACCATGCTTTACAGTTGTTAAAACATTTTACTTCTTTAGGGCTTCATTACGATGTCGCCATATCGTCCTTTGACCATCTGAAACAAACAAATTAAATTTGCTTTTGTCAGAAAAGATGACATTTTCCCAAAAGCTTAAAGGTTTCTGTCGTACTCCCTAGCAAAAGCAAGGTGCTTTTTGCAATTCGTTTCACTGATGTATGGCTTCTTACTTGGAACTCCCCATATTCAGGGCATATCTAATTGTTCTGCTATTAATCTGAATTCCAGAATTTTTGATTGGACCATGGTAGCCAGCTCCCGAGAACTTATTAGAGGAATTTTAAGAGCTTTTTTTCTGATTTTCCTCTTCAGCCTGGGAGTTAACTTTTTTGGACGCCCTTTACGCTCACTGTTTTCAGTTGAGCCACGTTCTTCATACCTTTTTATGACGTATCCCACTGTAGAAAAATTCAACCCTAAGAAATCGGCAATTTGGCGATATGTTTTTTGCTGAATCCTTAGTAAAACAATTTTTTCGCGAGTTGCGGCACACAGTTCACTTGTCTTTGGCATGATAATTGTCTATTGACTAAAGGAAACTGATTGAAAGACTAGAGAATACTGGTAATAAATGATTAGAGATAAATTAGTAAACAATCCTATGGCCTATGGACACAGGAGGATTAATGCCAAAGTAAACAGAGCTTGTGAGTCATAGTGTGCAAATACTTTTTTCCAAAAGATTTTTCTCAATTTTTAACAAATGTACTTTTCATTTTTGCAGAGGAACGCGAAGTTTTTTGGTTCCTTGAACTCATTTATTCATAAAAACATGATGTGCAAATACTTTTTTCCATCACTGTAAGTCATAACTCAAACTTGAGGTCCAGATCATATGAACAAAGTGACTTGCTCACAGACATACTCTGCTCCAAATTTAGATAATTACATTATTATAATTTTTTTTTTATTATAAAACATTTTGTATATTAGACAAAAACCTTTAGGTTTGTAAAAATTCAACTTTATAATTTAGAATATTTACTTTTGTCTGATATATAGAATGTTTTTTTAAGATTTTATGGTATATGCCAGCCAAAAGCCTTTTTCTTTTCCCAGATGATTCAGGTATTTTTTTTTCTGATTACTAGGTTTTATGAATAGTTACAAATTAAATTATTTGATTTGCAAAAACACAATGTAGAATTTAGTGAAGTGAAAAAAGAAAGAATCCGAAGAAATCTCTTATTTGTACATTTTCACACATTTATTTAAACATGTATAGTAAGAAAATAGGATTTGATTACAAATCTTGATGGAATCTTGTATTAATAAATAAATAAAACTAATTTGAGATCCAGTAATGCAATTTAACAATACTGGAAAGTACAGTGTCTTATGCTATAATAGTCCCACTTTTGACTTCTCTGCTCGCCTTGTTTTTCTGGAAACTTCTCTCCATTGTATCTATATTTCTTTTTATGCAGGATAGTTAAGTTCCCCATCACGAAGTTAGGCAAATAAGCCATTAAAAAATCTAAATTTGTCCTATATAAGCTAACACTTTTTTTTTTTTTTACTTTCTCCCCGAAGCAGTAAGAAAATTTTTAATGATTTATTTAAATTTGAAAATGTATTGATTTTTTATTTTTGGTGATATGTTGAGCCCTATGTGTAAGGAAATTTTAGGAAGTTCTTCATTAGTATACCGGGATACAACACTAATGTTAAATTTATTTTCAAATCTGAATTTTACATTTTATCAGAAGCCAGTAATTGATGAAAAGCACACTGAATTTTAAAGACTACATCCTCATGATCCTTGAATTATGTTTAAATTTTTTCATGCTATATTACTGTACACTGTGTAATATATATGTGATCGATTGAATTTGTAACTGTTATTAAATAAAAATGTATTTCAGTTTTAACATCATTGTTTGAATTCAGAAATAAAATTAATTAAATTCGAGAACTGCTTTATTTCATGAGGTATAACTTTTCTATTACTGCAATAATGATACTTTTCATTAACAGCCAATATGTTTCTTTAAACTACTTTATTTTGAATTTTAGTCATAATAAATTAAATAAAAATGCACAGCAATTTCTATTGTATAATTTCTTGAGCTTTGGGTGAAAAATAAGAATTAACTGCACACCTGTTCTGAATCCAGCCAACAAAAAATAAGCTACTAAAATTTTTAAAAATAATATATTATTTGCAAAGGATGATTTCTATATGAAGACTTGAGGGAAAACAGGCGATGTCACATTCTTTTGGAAATCGAATTTTGGCAGGTTAAAATAGATAAAAGAAAATACTACAAAACTATAAACTTAAATGTGAAAACTAATAGTTTTATCTCTGTTAACATTGATTTGACAAATAAAGACAGTGTAGTGGAAGGAGGGGAAAGCTGTCTATTTTTTAAATTTTATTTTTCTCTCACTCAAGTATTTTGGACAACACCTGTTTTGTCATGTGGTCTTCATATTTTTGTCTTGACTTGAGATTGGTACAAACCTTTATTTGAGCAACTAAATATTTTACACCCATTTTGAGCGCTATGTAAAATTCATACATATAAGAAAATATGATTGAGAATTTTTAATTTGCTAATCTTTGGTCTAGACAAATAGTTCATTCTCCAAGTCAGTTCTTGACAGTAGTTTTGTTTCATATGCCTTGTGTCAGAACAGGTATGCAGCGTAGAATCATTAAAAGACATGTAGTTGCTTGTAGTTTTGTTAAATTTATGTAATACATTTCATATCAAATTGCTGAATTAACATGCTTGTTTGTATTATAGAATATTCCTTTACTATTTGTTTTGTTGGTTTTAGGCTCAAGATCTATTCATATGAAGATGGCTTTTGATCGATTGCCAGGGTGCTCAAACCTTCATCGTTGTCGACTGTGTGGAAAGGTTGTGACACATATCCGTAATCATTACCATGTACATTTCCCAGGAAGGTTTGTTTGCCCTATATGCCAGGCAACTTACACAAGAAGTGATAACTTAAGAACACACTGTCGTTATAAACACTCTCTTTCAGAAACTCTTGCAAAAATTAGTGAACCAAAGTCTGACATCAGCACAGACGGTGCAGCTTGAAGTTATATTCCCCTCCAATGAATGTGATATTAATACAGTGATATTTTTATTATAAGGAAAGTTAAACTTTCCTTTAAAGAAAAAAATATATATATTTGTAGAAAAGTGATATGAAATATATTTTTAAAATTTTTATCTTACCAGTGTAGCTGTTCAAAACAGCAAAAGCCTTCCAAGTCATTAATATTAGGAATGGGATAGGCAATTTATTCCATATTCTTGATCACTGTGAGTGTAAAAGAATAAAATAATTTATACCAAATGTTTCAAAGTGCATTATATTAGTATTTAAACAATTTGACAATAACTTAATTAGAAATGATTTAAAATCTGCTTTAAAAACTCACCAAATAACTTCTTTTTTTTTATCTGTGAATAGTCAGGTAAGAATGAAATGATAACGGGTTAGAAGTGTATGATTGTTAAAAACATTTAATGGATGTGTGTGCGTGTGTGTGTGTATAAAACACTCACAATAATTTCTTTATAGTGCAATTGTTTTTATTTTTATTATCTGGTTTTATTGGCATTAAAATGTCAATGTTACTGATATTGATTTGTATATCTGTTCTGTATTATATATGATATTCTGTTGCAGTAATGTTTTTATTTTAAAGTTTTATCTGGTTTAAAATTGTAAATAGAGAATATATAGGTGATATATAAATATATATTCAAATAATATATTTAAATTATAATTTATGTTTATGTAATGAAAAATATATATATATGTATATGTTTCAATATGTTATTTTGAGTATCATCCATTCCAAACTTTCATACCAAAGAATTGTTTCTTAAAATACTTCTTGAATAGTTATACATTTATGAAACATTAATGCATGCAATAAGTATTTTGAAATCAGCTATAATATTTAAGCATACTTATTTTATTTTCATATGAATTTGTTATTGGAATATAGAAATTTTGTGCAATCTTTATCATTTTTTGGTATTAAACACAATAAATTGTTGAAATTTATGTTAAATTGATTTATGTATAATTTTTAAATACATGTGATGAAAACAGTTGATGTGAGACCATTTAACTGTTTTTATTTTTATTTATCTCCCTTAATAACTGCGTTCAAAGAGTACCAAATCTATCCATGTATGTAAACCCCACAAGTATAATTTAGTTAAAATATTTTAAGTTCATTTTTATCCCTATGAAATAATGATTAATGTTCAATCATACAAACACAATTTATAGAATAAAAAATAAATCATAAGTGAAAACTGAAATTTGTTTTCACAAAACATGTCTGAAGTATTATTTTATTTTTATTTATTTTTTTTTAGAAATAAAAAAAAACATTAAGAACTAAAAAAAGAAGGTTTTTAGTATTAAAAATTAATTGTATATATAGTATTTAATATATATATATATTAAATACTATTGCTTATAAATTCATGGCTTGACATGCTTTAGATGATTAGTTTTGTCTGATCAAGGAGATCTACCAAATGCAAAGAAGTTATATAAAAATTATTTGTGCTTATATAAGAGTTAGGTATGCCTTTTATTTTAATTTTCAATTCAAACTCATGCTTGTAGGAACTTTCATCTCATTTTAGTAATACAATGGTTCTGAGTAGGTACTGAAACTTGCATAAAAATGAATATTAATGTATATATATAGGATGTCCTTGAACTCTCTGGAGCTACTCAGTAAAAACTGTTCCTTGGATCAAAACTTTTTTTTCTATTATAAAACATTGATTTATGGTGTTTACAAAGAACTAAAAAAAGTAGAAACTTCCAATTTGTTAGAAGGTCGTAACTTGTTTTGTTAAAAAAAAATAACAGAAAATTTTAGATTTTATGAACCCATTTTACTGTGGCAGTTGAAAAATCTAAGATTTAGCGGAATTTTCTACTAAATCCTCAATTATATAATAAAAAGACAAGATCACAAAAAGGACAACCGTTTTACAACATGTAGTTAAACATTAAAAATTTGAAACTTTCTTTATTGAATATTAATACATTCTACCACATTGAAGGACATTAATATTAAGGCTACATGATTCATTCACACAATATGTACATACAATTAATATTTCAATAATAAAGAAAAAGAAATATAAAAAAATAAAATAAGTAAATTGATATGCCTGTGTACAAAAAAAAAAATGAAATAATAGATAAAAGCTAAATGAAATTAAAATAAATAAATCACATTCACACCTATGTACAATATTTACATTCTCTCAGGGGACTCTGAGTCATGCCTTATTCCCCGACGTGGAAGCCAAGGCAGGACTCCAGGAGATCCCAGTGCTTCCTCTCTCAGCCGCGTCACTGTTATTTGAAACCAGTGGAAACTGATGAAGGGCACTACAGCAACAGACGCTCATGTCTTGAGTGGAGAATCTGGTCATTGCCAGTACTCCAATATATACATATTTACAAAAGGTCGCGGGGCCACTGCCGTTTTAACCTCCGGGGAGGATTGTAGGGATGGCTGGAGCTAGATAGGGATTGTGCTACAGGATTTGGATGATGAGTGAGTTTCTGGTGAAATTTGGAAAATTTATCTGGGATTAGGTCAATAACAAATGGGATATGAAGGTCATTATGGAGGGTTTTGTTGGATACACAGAAGGGAGCATCGACTATTATTCGGAGGATTTTAGACTGGAAGGATTGAATGCATTTGATGTTAGAAAGTTTTGCTGTCCCCCATAGTTCTATTTCGTAGGTCCAAATAATTTTCAGGATTGTCTTGTACATTAGTAGTTTGTTGTCGACTGAAAGTTGAGATTTTATATTCAATAGTCTTTATAGTTGTCCATATCGTCTGTTAAGTTGTTGTCTTTTAAGTCTGGTGTGTGGGTTCCATGTCAGTCTTTTGTCTAGAATAAAGCCAAGGTGTCGGACAGAGGAAGTGGTATGAAGTTGAAGTAGAATGGTGGACAGGAATTTAACAGAATGTAGAGGACAGGACCCAAGATGCTGCCTTGAGGAACTCCCGCCTTGATTGAATGACGGAGGATTCTGTACCACAGCGAACTTGAAAGGAGTGGTCAGAGAGGTAGGATCAGATATAAGGAATGGGGTAGATGAGATTTGTGCTTGAAGAGCAGTCCGGCGTGCCATACCTGGTCAAAAGCTTGCGCGATATCCAGTAATGCCCTCGAACAATACTTTTTGGTTTTTAGGGCTGAGGATATGTAGTTAAACATTAGTTGACAAATTTTTTTTCACCTTTTTGGCTATATGGTTTTTTTTCTCCAGGGCAGATAATTCATTATTTAACACCTTTTATTACTATGCATTGGTGCACAGGCGGATTTACGGGGGGCTTTCGGGCTGAAGCCCCCCCCCCCCAAAATGGTAAAATATAACAATGTTTTATAGTAAAAAATATTAAAAAATTACGTCTTAAAGTATTATTGCTCGTTTAATTACATTTAATAGGACTTCATCACTTAAACACCAATTCATATGGGTAGTTAGAATCTTTCTGTTTTTACAAAGAAATTATCGGTATATACATGAAAAAAAAAGCTTCCGGGCTGAAGCCACCCAAAATTAAATCCTGGATCCGCTAGTGCATTGGTGTGAATATGTATTTACTTTCACTTACGTAATATATAGTAAGGGTAAGTATTGTGATCGTGGAAATTTTTTAATCTGAGTTTTCAACGGTAATATACGTTTTGGGGTACCCTGAGTCCAAATAATCAAGTCCCGAGAAATGGTATGTGTGTCTGTATATTAGCAGTATAGCTCAAAAACGAAAAGTCGTACGCAACTGATATTACATATTTATGATAGGTATAGGTAAGATGCCTTGGATGTGACAGCAACTTTTTCCTTAAAATCGGCTAACCGGGAGTGCCACTTTATATCAACAGTGAAACACATTTTTACGGCTCTAACGATTTTGATTAAACTCGGTGTATCATTGTATAATTAAGTGGTCTTTAATGTCATTTAGGTCTTATCCCTGTTGATGTCACTTTACAGAGCTCAGATGCCCAATGTTCATACCCGTCTTCCTCTAAAGTACCTTTAATATGGTTTCCTTTAAATAATTAACTATCTCTTATTATTAAGAGTTACGAAAAAATACTAAATATAACGTTTGAAAGAATTTGATATTTGAATAAAGGAGAAAAAAATAAAAATACTTATCCAGGTCGAAAATAAATCTCCGGAAATACTAGTCAGAAGGTATATGTATAATATATCGTTGGAAAGCGAAGAATTTTAGAAAAAAAAAAAAAAAACAATATCTAATACAGAAAGCTGTAGAAGGTAACGGAGAGTGACGAAAAAAAATTAAAACATTCAGAAAACTAACATTATTTAACGTAAATCACATGTTTCGAATGAAGTTCAATGAAATGTTTCTATTAAATGTAAACTTTTAAATTATTGTCTAACTTTGAAAAAAAGGTATTTTAATCCACCGAATCATGCCAATACCATTGTTTAAAATACTATTTAATTGTACTTGTGTGAAAGAAGAAGTTAAATATAAAAATACTAGTTGGCCCGTACGAATAATTCGCAAAAAATTTTATTTAGTGACGAAATAGCAAAACAATATGGAAATAAGTAGATCCTATGTATTATGTAAGAAAGGAATAATTATTTTTTCCTTGGTCGATTACAATATTCCATTTAACATAATAGACCAAAATATTTGTACAAATTGCTAAGTAAGGACCTATTTTTAAATGCTGAATGGAAAGATAATTAAAGTAATAAAGACAAAATAATGGGATTTTCTAAGTTATTAAAAAAAATTAAATGTAAGAACAAACAAATGCCTTTAAGAAAAAATAAGTTAATATATCAGTCAGAAAAAAATTGTAGTAGACTATTCTACTCCTAAATGCAATCTCTTTAAAGAGGAAGACATTATTAAGTATACCAAAGCTAATGGTCTGTATCTTTGTTAATAATTGTCCGATTTTTTTTTTTTTTTTTTTTTTTGTTTTGTAGGTGATTTGGTAATCTTTCTAATTACCATGGGTAAAATCAAGAAAAAAATTCATACTTTTTGAGATTTGAAAACAATCAAAGGGGGGGGGTCTTTGGCCAAATTTGTAGAATTTTTTTTTTATTTTATATCGCAATGAAAATTCGTATTCGAGGGTCTTTCGAGCTGCGAAATACAAATCTCAAATCTGTTTCTATTTAAAAAAAATATTTCAACACACTTTACTGCTTCCATCAATATAAATTGGTTAAATTATACAAATTTCTAATCGATTTTTTTTTTTTTTTTTTTTGTGTGTGGCAAAATGTATTATTTCTCAATAAACAGATGCAAAAAAAAATCGATTTTTACGATTTTTTTTTTTTTGTAGGTAATTTAGTAATCTTTCTAATTGCCATGGGTACAATCAAGAAAAAAAAAAGCCTACTTTTTGAGTTATTTGCAAATAATGTTTCTTTTCCTCCATAACTTTTTTCAAGATATTTCGAAGTATAGGACTATTTTTCGCATCAAATCCAATGATGAAGAATTGACGAAGTTATGGCATACCGACAAAAAAACACCTTTTAGAAATAATATAAAGGACTAGTAAGCCCATGCGAAAAATTCGCACAGCATATTGTTATAAAATGCAAATTAATAAGAAAATAAATAATGCAACGTTTCAAAATATAAAGGAATCAATTGTTACTTTATCAATGAATATAATCGACAAATGAAAAAAAAATTAATTTAAATCTTCATTTTTCTTTGGAACCAACATATTTACAAATTTCAATAAGCTGTATCTTTGTTAAAAATTGTCCGATTTCGATGATTTATTTTTCCTTTTGTAGAGAATTTAGTAATATTTTACATAATCATGGGCATAACCAAGAGAAAAGTGTGTAATTTTTTTGTAATTCGCTAATAAAGTTTCTAGTCTTTCATGACTTGTTTGCCTGAATTTTCGGAGTGATTGGACTATTTTGCCCGCCTGGAGGAGAAGGAAGTCTTCGAAATTGGTAGCTCAATCTTGAGATTTGGTGAAGAATTAACGATGATATGGCTTGCCGATCAAAAACACCATCGATAAATAATATAAACTCCTCCTCTCTCGATCATAGAGACCTCAAGTCGACGAAATGAGACATGTATTCAATGACAGTACTACAATTAACGTAAGGTTGTGTGGATGCGAACCCTATGCCTTGCGTCATTTCGAAAATAGTACGTTTTTGGGCTTAAAAACGCAGGATCCGATCGTTCCGGGTCTTGCTGTACGCATCAAACTCTTCAAGGTCCAATTTGTC